CACTTCGCTAATATAAGCTCCTCTCCCCACCTAGAAGGGACGACAGACAGAAGGGGAAAGGCAATGACATTTTACTTTATTACAGTGCCATATACATGTATGAAACATATTGCACAAGAAGGGCACTCGTGATTAAATGAACCTTTATTTCAAAGGTCTGACATGTTTTAGATGACAAACCAGTGATCTGAATGCTTGAGACGCACATTGAGTCAAATCCTATTTGTCTAAATGCCAGCTAACCATCCACTATTCTGAAATTTACTTAGAAAAATCACCATTATTATCAATTAAAACATATGTTTATGATAAGATACAAAAGCGACTGCTGTTTCCCTTTTTCCAGAACTCGGGAACTGGATTCCTCAAAACTCCAATGATTTAAAAGTCCAGAAAGACACCAGAAAGCAAGAAACATATAAATCAGGTTGCTCCAAACAAGCCTACCTAGCTGATAGCCTGAAATAAGAGTAGCTTCACTTTTCAAACCACAACTCTCCTCAGTGTTTTCCATACACGCAAAACTAATCATACACAGCTCAGAAACACTCAATTACTGGCCTACCAGCCCGAGCTCCTCTCACCTACCATGAGAACTGATGCTGCTCTGTGTCCTGTTCAACTGAACTGGGCAGACTCTGCCTCTAAACATCAGTCTTCTACTTGTGCAAAAATCAAAGTATTTATCTGAAAATGCCCAATAAATGTAACCCACATTTTCTTCTCTCTTGCTGTGCAGACCAGCTATGGAAGTGATTTGCCTGGCTTTGGAACACGGCTGTCAGACGTGCTGTGTTTGGAAAATCAAATTAGGAAAATCTTTTTAATATGGTTAATGCTCTTTCCTGTTTCTGAGTTTGGATGTCACACACAAAGTGAGTCCCAAATTACAGTGAATAACCAGGGGTTTGAAATTATTACGAAAAAAAAAAAAAAAAAAGTTGTGTGACAAAGGGTCCAAATAAAATGACTGAGTGTAAACATGCAGGGTGAAATGCTGAGATGCACTAGCGCATGCTTACCACACAGAAGAATGACAAGGACAGTAATGCTGAAAATCCATCAGAAGGGGGCTGTATTTGATGCACTTTTTTTTTTTTTTAATAACTGTTGTAACTGGCTACTGAAGGCTGATGGAACAAAAGCCCAGATTCTGACTCCCTTATTCCCAGGGAGAAGCTCTCTCCTCCACAGACGGATCTCTCGACTTCTTTTTAACCCTGCTGAAATCACACCTCAGCCAGCCAAGGCAACCTGGCGGGGCCACCTTGCTTTCAGTGAAGCCTCCTGCAGTCCTAAAATGTTCCTGGGGATGAGCAAGGGCTGCAACATCCGGCCCAAACTCGTGAACATCCCTGAGATCTGCAAGAGCACATCCCTTTAGAACAGATTAATGTTCCAAATGAGTTTATCTGTTTGCAGTGAAATACTGCTTGGCTTTACTGATGCAAATACAATCACATCTACACGACCAAATACAAAGGGTCCACTGATGCATCAAGAGAATTAAGTCCATTTCCCCCCCTTTTTTCAACGAGATGCGTTTAGGTATTTAATCACGAAGTGCATCCCCAAAAGGTTAGTACGTTCACATGTTGTGTTTCACTTTTTCCGCACCAAGCATTTTCAAACTGCTGCTGTTGCTAATAAAGGCTGTGCTGGGGTAGGACAAATATCTGCACATATGGCTCTTTTAGAGTTTTCTTCTTAAATTATCAGTTTAATTTAATTAGGTTTGAGGGGTTAAGCGTCAAAAATGTAGTAATGTGTTGTAAAGGAAAAACTGAAACAAAAACTGATTAATATGCAGCCCTTTGACTTTTCTATCCATCTCTTACACCTTCAGTATCAGTCTGTATGGCTTGTCACTGCAGATACATAGCCCACCCTCCCTCTTGTCCCACCTAACCCTCAAAAGAGAGTGGGGCCACAGGAAAAAGTTCTTCAAACACCTTTACTACCCAGCTGACCAGATATCCGCAGGAAAAGTTGCTCTGTGGGCAGATAGCACCGAGATGCTGGGCACAGGTTGGTGCTTGGGTCCAGAGTTGGTTGCTCTTTTCTTTCACACATTGGGGCAATTGAATTCTCCTTCTGATGTGGCTTTTTATAGTGGTGTAATGGATATGGCAAACAACACATCAGAGTTGGTTTTGGCTTAATAATCCCCCTGGCCCCATTCACCCCCCTTTAAAAGTTACGGGCTCTCTCCAACATTGGGCCGTTTCCTGTTCTCTCCTGATAACAACGGAAAAATACTTGAGACAGCTTCAGATAATAAGATAAGAAATGCTAATAAAAAAGTGTATTTAGGTCTGCTGAACAGCTTACAGGAGGATTCTGGGATGCAGCGATACAAATCTGTCTTTAAGGAAGCGTGGAGGCTGGTCCACCAAATACTCAATTGATAAATTTATTTTCCAAAAAGCAATGGAAAAGGAAAGCATGAAAGCAGAAGCCCCGACAATGCCCACGGCTTCCCTAGCCTGCTTCAAAAGATAAAACTGGTTGAAGAACGGAGAAGAAAAGCAAAATGAGAAATAGCATTAGCAGCAAGTACTGGGGAAAAAAAAATGTATAGAGCCTCGTTCTCTTCCTATCCCCACCTCTTAAAATCATAGCTATGTGGCAGTGGTTGCGGTTTGCAGACACCCCTTTAAGGTTGTTTTGGGGTTGTTTTTTCCTTTTCAAGGTATCACAAGTGAAGACTGAACTCTTTGCATGATTATAACCAAGCCAGCTGGCTCCAGACCCACTGAAAATCAGAAGACCAAGACCAGTTTGGAAGTTAGGTTCCCCCAATCCCATTTCTTCTGCTTCCAAAGGACTGTGAACAAAAACATGAGCAGAGTGGTTCCATTTTGGAGGAGATGGACCAGCTGGAGGAAGACTTTGGAGAATGGGGTTGAGTAAGGATCCCTTTAAGGTTTGTGCATTTTTGGAAATATATAAATAAAGCAGTGGTGAAACTTTGCCCAGTGCTAGATGGTGAGAAAAATTCCTGAAGAGGGCATAGTTAAACTGTTGATTCATTGCCTTACAGAAGCACTACGTATACACACATGAAGATCACCAAGGCAAACACTGCTCAGACAATCCCCCAGCTCTGGGAAAGATGCCAAAACCAGGTCTGCACCCAAACCCTGCACCCACTTCCAGCAAACAGGAAATGAAAATAAAAGCGGGCACGGAAAAATGACTCAAAACCAAAAGATTACCTCCCGGCCACAGTCCCTGTTTTTTCCACATGGTTGTGGAAAGTTTGTGATGTGGCAAACAATGGAAAACGGTGCTGGGGACCTCTTGCTCCCTCTCTCAGTACGTGAGCACACCTGCACCCACCAGAGATCCTGAACCCATGCCTTCCTGCCCAGCATCCACACAGGCACCGGCCCAGGATCAGGGCCCTGGACCTTCTCCCCTTCCCCTCTTCTTTCTCCCTTCTCCCATCATCTCCCCTCTCTCCAGGTGTGTGTGCATCCTTCCTGCCCGGCAGCATTGCGTTACATACGCGTGGCAGCGAGAGGCCATCGGAGAGGGTGTGGGTGCCCTGTGTCAGGGAGACGTGAGGTCTGAAGCAGCTAGAGACACAGCACGTCCCTTCTTCCCCTCTCGGGCCATCTGTCACGTGAATTCGGGGCTCCTTTCTGTGCCAGGTCCAGCCACCCGAGGGGCTCTTCTCCCTTTCACACCCCCTGTCTGCACAGACTGACACACAGGCACTGACATCTCGGTCTACACGCACGCTGTGCTAATAAAACCTCTAAAAACAAAAAGTCAAGCCTGCCCAATCTCCACCACGAAACCAAGCAGGGAAAGAAAACGATGCAGAAATGTGACACGGCACATAATGAATTCCGTACTCCCATTCTCTGCAACCTCCTTTTCATGACCAGGTTTCTGATATCCCCACGAGATAAATGCCCGGCACATTAAGGAAACATGACTCTGAGGACGGAGCAAGTACCAGCGGGGAAGGGATACGCGCAGTGACATGCACAGACACGATGTAGGGCGCATCCAGCCCCTGCCAGCAAGCCTACGGCTCCTGAAATCCTGCTGGGGCAGCGGCACTCACAGCAACCCACACGGCTCTCCGGGCAGAAAGGCCAGGGCAGAGCATGCCTTGTAATGGCCGGGTGAGAGCCCGGGGTCAGGTCTGCGTGGCCGTCTCAAGTGCCTCTCATCGGGGATGCTGGGGGGAGAAAAGCAGCATTCTTCCACTCGCGTTACGCTAGCACCTCCAAATCAAGGCTTCGGTGCGCGCTGTGATTTCCTGGTGGCATACGGTGGGAAAAAAAATAAAAAAAAAAATCGGCTTCTAAAATTCCTTCCTCTCGCTACCCGTGTCACCAGGAATTTGCAAACGCTTTACTGAAGCCGAACATCCTTGCCGTGTGCGGTTGTGCCCACATGCAGCAGCAACCTCCCTCTCCCCGGCGCTGAGGAGCTCGCAGAAAAGTATTTCCCAGCAGAAGCCACCATTTCCACTTGAGCTCTAACTCCCGGGAAGAGAGGAGAAAAGCACCGGGAAAGTTTTATCTGGCAGCGGCTCGCACGAGAAGAAGCCTCCCGCTGTGCCTGCCTGCCCTGCGGCAGCCCCAGCCGGTGCCACCGCGCCGGGGCTCTTTGTGATGCTCCCCACACATCCCCGGGGCGCACGGCGGAGCGAGGCACTCTCCCTCTGGCAGGGGCACCGACACCCAGGCGCTGGCAGAGACGGATTTAGCACTCCTCCGGCGCAGGGGGGAATAAAAATAAAGGCGACGCCGCGGCTCCCTCCGGCTCCATCGCGCTCCGGGGCGTGCGCCCGCAAGCGGAGCCCGGCGGGGCTGGAGCCGCAGCTGCCCCCCGGCTCCCCCGGACCCTCTCCGGTCCCGCGCCGCTTCCCGGGGACCCTCCCCACGCCCGTGCCCGGACGGGGCGGCTCACGCGTGGCGAGAAAACCCCTCCTGGCTTCGGCACCCCGCAGGTCTCCCCCTCCCGCTCCGCTGCCTCACCTTGCGCGGCGGAGCCGGGCCGGCTGGCCCCCAGGACGGCCAGCGCGGGGAGCACCACGGTGTGCAGCAGGTATCCCAGTCCCAGCCCGCAGCGGGCCGCCGTGCCCTCCAGCCCCTTCCCCATGGCCGGAGCGCGGAGCGCCGCTTCCCGGAGGCGCTCAGGCTGCGCGGGGGGCGGCTCCGCTGGCCGGGGGGGGGCAGCGGCACAGCATGGCCGGGCGCGGAGGGGCGCGGAGCGCGGCGGAGAGATGCTTTCCCGAGGGCTGCGAGGCACGGCGAGGCGAGGCACGGCACGGCACGGCACGGCGAGGCTGGGCACGGCTCGGCTCGGCTCGGCACGGCTGCCTCCAGCCCGCAACCCGCGGGGCGGGGACGGGCGGGGGCCGGGCCGGGCCGGGCTGGGGAGAGGGGCTGCGCCGCCCGCCTGCGATCAAATGCGAGCAGGAGCCGAGGAGCGAACCCAGAGGGAAAGGGGGCGGGGGAGGCTGGGAACCACCCGCCGCAGACCGGCCCCCGCCGCCCGCTCCCCTGCGCGGATGGCGAGGCGCGCACTGGCGCTCGCAGCCAGCCCCCCGCTGCCCGCCCGGGTGGGGGACACGGCGAGGGGCTGCACCGGGGGGAGCCGTCCCCGAGGGGGTTTCTTCCCCTTACCCTCCCGGTCCCTCCCTCCAGGCTGGGGGCACCCCGGCTCCTCCCCTCGGACCCCAAATGCTGTCCCCTGCCCCCCCAAAATGCTCTCCCCTGCCCCCCGCCTTCGCCGCGCCTCCAGCAGATCTCGCTCAGCGGGGTGGCAGCGCCCGCAGCTGGGGTTCGCTGCTCGGCCGGGGCTCGCTCGGGTTTTACCGCTGTCCGGGAGCTCGTGTCGGTTTGGGGTTTCTGTCTCTAACTTGCTTTTCCCTTTGCAGAGCCCAGGCAGGTGGTGACCGGCCCCGGCTTCTCCCGTGCCAGGCTTTGCCAGCGCCAGGGGGCTGCAGCCCCGCAGCTCTCCGCACACCGCGGTGCTCCGGGGAGCCTCTCCTTCCCCAGCCCCGAAACTCAACCTCGCAGGGCTGCCTGCGAGACAAGGAGAGCTGTTTTCTGCAGCTAGCACCTTCCCAAACATGCTGGCTTTGCCTTCTGCCCTCGGCAGGAAAAAGTAGCAGCGAGTGGCGATGCTGTAGGAGGGTTTCCCAGGGGCCACAGGAGCTGCTCGTCCCCACTGAGGCTCCATCACCCCCACCCCGTGACTTACAGACCATTCCCATCTCTAGGGTTGGGGTCTATTGTGTTTTGATGTTGTTATTATTTTGGTTTGTTTTTGCAGGGGTCTTGTTCTCCTGCTCAGCAGCTGACACAAAGCTGCAGTGCGACAGGGAGGTAATGCTTCTTTTTTTGTACAGGCACAGAGTGAGAAAAAGGGGCAGGTTTGGGCCTGGGAGGCTCCATCATGACCCTGCAGTTGAGTCCTGAGGCTGAGTGGAAAGGGAACTCTGAACAAGGAGAACTTGGCTGCAGAACAGGAGCTTTTTTTTTGGATCACATGTGCTCCTTACACATCCCCAACATCACGCTCCCCAGCCTCATGTCTCAGGTTGGTAGGCAGCAGAGCGTTTCTCCATGTACGGTATTTGTTCACCAGTTTTGCCATAACTTGGTAAAGTCGGGAGCTTCTCCCATTTGTCTGGTATTTACCGCTTCCCTTGTGCTAAGAGAAACTTTGCAGAGGCAAGGAACCAGACCCCAGAAAGATGCCGTGTGTGGAAGATATATTTGCTGCGGCACCAGCTGATGGGCACATCTACTGCCACAGGGGACAGGGGAGGCAGGGCTGGCTTCTCCATTAAACGGAGTTAATTTATTTTTGATGTTTTGGGGCTTCCCAGGAGTATTACCTATAGTTCCAGGCTTAGTTTCTAGTTAGTACCTCAGTGACCTCATTAAAAAGGTCCATCCCAATTTCAAGTCGATGTCCCTGCAGCCCTGCTCGGGGGTCCCTGGTGGCTGCCAACCTGTCAGCCTCTCTGCCCCCGTGTAGGTGCATGGGGAGCGTCGCTGCTCCACAGCCAGGACACGAGTGATGGCATGGGGACAGCCAGTTCAACTAGGGGACAAAGCAAGTCTTTTCCTGATAGCCAAGTTGTGGCAGACAGCAGAGGAGCAAGGGCAGTGCAGCCTGAGGTGTGGAGGAATCACTTTCCTACTGGAAGGGGGCATACTTTGACCTGGAGGAGCTGGCTGAAGCAGCAGCACTAAACAGGGGTCTGTCTTCTCTGGAAAAAGGGCTTTCAAATCTTTCTGTGCTCCATTACACGTAAGAGTGCATCCAAAGATGCTACATGTGCCAAAATCACAGAGCATCCTTAGAGGTCCTCCATGCACATGACAAATGCTGCTTGCACCTGGGCTACCCCAAATGCCACTGAGCTGGATTTTGCCTGGTCAGGAGCTAGTCTGCCCCATGGCTCTTCACCTTTCTCCCAGTGAGATAAGCAGAATTATTAGCCCAGCTTAATAAATTTCAGATTTGACAAAGGAGTTAAAGGATGGAGATAATTCAGGGATTTGGGATTAGAAAGTGCAAATTGCCTGGATTTATTCCAAAAGTGGTTGCTTCCTTATTGTTACTGTTGCTTGTTTGTTTGTTTTCCTTATAGAACCTGGTTGGGGAAGATGTTTTCCCATATATACTTAAAAGTATATCCAAAGTTAAGTTTACCATTTAGTCATCTTTAAATGTTCTTTAAAATCACTGAAGAGCCTTCATAAACACATCTGAAGCAGAAGTTAATCTCCAGTTTTCATATTTAGACAGAAATGAAGTGTCAAACAGCTTGCTTTGAAAAGTGGACTTAAGTGCGTAACAGGTACCACTTTAGTTGTTTTTTCAGCTAGGTTCAAGAAATAGCAACTTCAAATTACACATCCATAGCAAGTGACTATGCAACATTATTAGGTTTTATAAGTGATATAAAATATTTTAAATTTTTATTTTAAATTTGTGTACTCAAGGGTTTGTGTTTTTGTTTGTTTGTTGTGCTTTTTTTTTTTTTTTTTCAAAATAGAAGTTTTTAAAATGAGAGTTAGATTATAAATCAATACTTGAAATTTTTCACCCCTGCTGCCAGCTCTGGAATTTCAAACTCTTGACAGGCAGTTTCTGAAAGTGCAGAGCTGGTAAATTTGACTTCATTGTGTTTTATTGCCCAAACATCTGGAGTTACAAAACAGTCAACTAGAAGGCATACTGGATTGGAGAAGCCATATCAGCTTTCATAACTGATATTGTGAATGTTAGTATAAGCTACCACCTTTTGCTCTAGATGTTTTCTAAAGATTTTCTGCATTTATAACAATTCATACAAACCTTAATCTAATTACACAGCTCAAGGGACAGGTAATTTATAGTTTCTTTTGGTACCGTGGCACAGCTCAGGGAATGTGGTACATTGCAGCAGGCACTGTGCAAAAACAGAGTCCTGATCCCCATTGCAAAGATTTGGGAAATTTTTCATTCATGACTGGAACAGGGGTAGCAATTTACCCTGTGTTAGGTGAGAGCTGAGAAGTGCTGGTTTGAACAAGCAAAGGAATCTCATCCCTGGGTTGATGGTTATAGGTAAGACTCAGTAAGCTATCCTCGCACTGAGCATTGCATCCCTAGGCAGACACTGCCCTTTCTGGGCACCTCCCCTGAGGAAACCCTTGTCACACAAGTGTTAATAAGGGATGCAGATTCAGGCTCCACATCAAGTGATTATATTTGGTAGTCAGGATGCTCTCAGCTCCTGAAATACACCTAAAGCAGCATGAAATACTTGAGCGAGGGCTGTATTTTGCAAGCTCCTCCGCTGACTGCAGTGCTGGGTAGCATGTGGCATGCATGGCATGGAAGGTATATCACACACCTGCTTTTGGCTGTGCCATTCCCTCAGGCTCTGCCATGCTGCTCTTATTTTATGGCAGTGCCAGCATAGCATAATCAAAAAAGCAGGTGTGAGACATGTGTCTTACTTCCCTGACATACATACCGCAAAACATCAAATGTTGCGGTTTTATCTCACTGCTTAGGTAGGCAATTCCTCCCTCTGTGATTACCTTGTGTGATGCTGTGGATCAGCAGATGAAACTACCCTTCTGATATCCTACATTTCAAGAGCAACACAATATCATTCCCAGTTGAAACTTCTGATGGTTTTTCGTCATGCTGGGAATGACTGTTTGTGGTGGAATTGCGGCCTGAGAAAAATTTGTTTCAGAGCTAGCAAAATCAATGTAAACAGGTGACTGTGTTTCAGCTTCCAAAATTTGGAATCATAGCTCACTACTTTGTTTGTGCATTTAGGGAACCAGATCTTCCAAAGATCACCCAAGCTCATGAGTTATACTGGAGTGCTAAATTTTTCAGTTCAGACATTATATTAGCAGGATTGTGGGTCAAGATCTGTGTCACTACCCAGAGAAAAGGGGTTTAAACTGTTTCACCTCATAATAAGCAACACTCCAGAGCTGTGCTGAATTACCTGCAAAGCCATTTGATGTCGTGCTTGCAACACCTCTTTGAATGCACATGCTCCCACTTGTTTAATACATTTATGGCAATTAATGTTACCCACACTGTTCTTCCAATCAGTTTGGCTTCTCACAATGTCTGAAGAGGATATTCTTGAACTAAAGGAACATTTCAAGCAATTATGCTATAGGCCAAATTCTGTACCTGTATTCCTGCTGGATATCCTCCTGTTGATATTGAGCTTGTAACTCGTGCAATAAGATGCTGCTGGAGCTGGGGACTCACATGCCTAGGGAATAAAGATAAGAAAAAAAAACTCAGAGGTGTTCTTTCACTAGTCAGGGACATTATATTTTGAATGGCAGAAGGGCTCAAGTTCCCTGCCCCTGGAAATCTTTGATCACAGATTTTGGAAATCTGTGCCGTGACTACAGCCAAGTAATATACCCAAAGAGTTTTTCCTTCATCTGAGTTACCTGTACACAGATCACAGATTTTCTATGAATTTATTTGCTCAGCACGTTTGTTTGGTGAATATTTGCTCTGAGCAGCTCCCGAGCCGCAGCTCATTCAGGCACAATTCACCGCGAGCATCTGACGAACGTCCTCCTGCAGGGCCGTACGGTATCCAAACATTCCCCATCTCCAAAAAAAATTTAAAAAACCGAGAGAGTTTGATCCTTTGGGGCTCCGTACTCCTTCCCCCGGCGTCCAGCAGCGCAGCCCCAGCCGGTGAGCCCGGTGCTGCGCTGCCGGTGGCCGCGGCACAGCGCTGGCGGCTGCGGCCGGCAGAGGGAGGCGTGAGACATCTCCGGCGGCCCCGGCCCCGCAGGGAGCGTTTTGTCCCCGAGCAAAGCCCTCCTGGCCTGGCCCGGGTACAGCCACATCGTCCCGCAGCAGGTTGCTCCAGCTTAGGGGAAGGGCGTGAGGAGGTTGAGAAGTGGCCCGGTGTGTCGCACAGCACGGCTGCGCTCCTCTCCCC